GTGTCAAATTGTGGAATTCCTGTCAGCCTAGGCACAATGCTATGCCGGACATCAACATGGAGCACGCGTACGTGAGACCGGAGGGGTTTGAGCTGCCGGGGTTTGAGATGGTGGTCTTGGAGCCGCCGTCTGAAGGGTTGGGTGAGAGGGAAGGTGCTGCTGCTGCTACTGCTGCTGAGGTCTGCGTCCGGTTCAGGTGGAGGGAAGTCGTGACGGTGTTGTTGAGGCAGCTGGAGCGGGGAGTGGATGATGAGGAAAGATGGCTTGTGGAGGGGTGGAGGGAGAGGGATAGAGAGTATTGGAAGAAACATGTCATATACAGGTACGCACCCGTTTGACAAAGCAAGATACCTAAACGATATGTGTACACTACCTAGAGGTACGTGTATCGGTGGTTAGGTAGTACCTAGTTATCAATTGATGTCCTTATCTCTTTCGGGTTTTAAGGTACATACCTACTTCAGCCGTCCTAGTTTCCCAGCCCTGCCCGATTACTTCCCTCCAACCAGACCTCTAAGCCTCATACGCAGGCGGCGGATCGCTGAGAGCCGGAGCCGGAGACGGAATCGCAGGCGTCTCCGCCGCCTCCGCCTCCGCGTTCGCCTGGAAAACCTCGTGCGCGCGATGCAAAAACAAGATCCTATACAGCGAGATCAACCACCAAAAGTGCACAAACAGTATACTCCTGAGAAAAACCGACACCAGCGTATTTCTTCTCCTCATCCTGTATTCTTTTCCGTAATACTTGTCGTAATCCGCGGGCGGGGCATGCAAGCCCGTCTCTGCGCAGGACTTAGTGCCGACGACGTGCAGCCAGATTCTGGATGCTTCCGAGCGGGCGTACTCGAGAGTGCCGATGAGGAGGAGGGAGAGGTAGATGGTGAGCCAGGCCCAGAGGGGGAGGAGGCCGAGGTGGAGGGTCATTAGACCCGTAAAGGTCGTTAGGGGAGTTGTGGTCGTGGTGCTTGAGGAGGGCAGCGGTGGTTGGGATGTGACAGTGGGCCCAAGAACAGCTATTTCCATGCCGCTGGGAGTGGCCGTTGGAGTTGGAGTTGGAGTTGGCATGGTTGTAGGAGGGATTGATGCAAGGAGAAGATCGAGCGGAGACGGACGACTACCTCCTCTAGTAATCGTACTTGTAACTGTACTCAACATCCTCTGCACAATCGTGGGGGTGGGCGTGGCTGCTATTGCCGCCCAATGTGTAAAGGCCGGTGCCATGATTTCTGCCTTGTTGGAGGGGACGGCGCCGTGATAGGAAGGTTCCTGTTCCCTTTGTAGACAAGGGCTGGTGATTAGATGGAGGACTATGAAGTACGAAGCCTTGAATTGCGGGAAATGGTACGGAGACGCAAGGAAAACTTACACGATGGCCTATGGTTCGAGTGGTGCCGTAGTTGTTGGAAGAAGAATGGAGGAGGAGAAGCGAAAGGTGGGGGAGCACAAAATGGGAGGGAAGGTAATAAAGAAGATCCAAAATATAAACCCCTCTTGACCACGCAGCAGGTGGCCTTTCAGGCAGCTGGCCTAGAGGTAGTTTCCGTGTGTCGAACGTGCGTTGTGAAGTGCATGTCTGGAAGTGCATGTCTGGAAGTGCATGAAGCGGTACATAGTCTAGAGCATAAGACGACCAGGCTACCCAAAATCCGTTATGGTAGGTGGAATTATGTTCAATCTTGGTCCTTGGAGCGAGGAGGCGCCGAGGCGGACACGGACGAGAAGAAGCGAGGAGGTTGCGTGTCGAGATGCAAACATCTGGCTTTTGTACTAGAAATGCTGATTCAGTAAGGTTTTTCCCCGGTGCAATCCAGATTGACAATTACCTACCTACCTACCTACCTACCTAGGTACCCTATCCAAAAAAGATGGCTTTCCAACACTCAATTTCGCTAGTCGTGATATCCTGCCACACCATCCATGCCTGATTCCATGCTATGCCAAAGAAACAAGAACTCCAAACTTGTGCCGTCCCAAGCACCAGTAACAAACCCAAATTGACTCATAAACGTTCGTGTCATCATTAAAACGGTCGTTCCCCCGCCGACCCGCCAGGTCCATACAACGGTACCTTTCTCTGCGTCGGCGTGCTTGGCTCCCTTTCTCTCTCTCTCTCATACGCAGTTTCTGGCCCAACCCTCTCCTCCATGTCGTTCACCGGTCCTCCATGTAACTCATCCCCCTCCCCCTCTCTAGCATCGGTGTCTTCTATTGGAACGACCGCCCACCTCCCCAGCGGCCTATCCACCACACCCCACAAGTCAGCCGGCACATAATCGCCCACCTCCAAGCGGAAATGCTCTCTGTCCCTTCTGTCCGCCTCCACCAGCTTATCCACCTGCTCCCTCGCCTTCCGCCATATATTCTCAATCTTGTCTTCAACAGCTCTTCGTCGCTCGACTTCGAGCATCAAGCTATCGTAAGCATCTAGATACCCCTCATAAAACTTTTCGAGTTCTTCCATCTTGGTCGCATTATCAGCAATAGCTTCCTTCTCGTCCTTCCATCTCTGCACGAACTCAGCCTCAGCGGCTACATACGATGACGCCCGGGCACCGATTTCTTGGAGCAAATAGAAGCAGGTAAGCGTAGCGGCGTGGGAGTTCCGAGCGGCGGAGAAGAGCGAGTGGAGGGTCTCGTGGTCCATTTCCATTTGTTGTAGAACGTTGTGGATGTCGGCTACCACGTCGTCTACCTCGGCGGCGTCGCGCATAACGACGTGCAAAAGCTCCTGACGCTCGAGAGGGTCCATGGGCTCGAAAGCTGATGGTCCTGACTCCGATTCCTGGGCGGAGATGACGCCTGATATGGAGACGGGGACTTGGTCCGAGTCTGAGGAGGTGGCTTCTGCTGCGCGACGACGGGCGAGAGCAGCGCCGCCTTCGGTAGTGCGCACGGCGGTTACGCACATGTCAAAGTGTCGAGTCAAGGAAGAGAGGTGTTCGGCCATGAGGTGGGAGCCGTCGGACATGGCAGAGAGGAGGCTGGGTATAGATCGCTGATCTGGGGGATAGCCATCGGCGGTTATGGTCGTGTTTGGGTTGGAGAGAGAGGCTGCGGCGGCCAGGGCATCGGTGAGGGTGCGTAAGTCGGTGTCGAACCGCAGGAGGTCGCCGTCGAAGGAGGTCTTGGCTGCTTGAAGCTCATGGATGTTTTCCTTCAAGGCGTCGCGCACCTGTTCGACAACCTTGGGGTCGACAAAGTCCAGCAGACACTTTGGCTCCTCGCCCGGCTGGCGGAAAACGTTCTCGACTGTGGTCTTGCGCAAGAAATCCATCATCTTTTCGAGTCGGCCGTCGGCGGTGTCAAGATCGCGGATGATCTTCTTGAACTCGCGCGTACCATTGTCGTAGGCACGCGCCATTCCGCGACGTACTTGTTGGAGAATCCGCACCTCCTCGAGTATGCCATGTCGTAGGAACGCGGTCTGTGCCGAGAGGATGACGGATTCTTGGTGCATTTGGCGGGCGGAGGTGGCAAGGTCGTTGGCGCGTAGGACGAGGGTCATGGAAGAGAGCGACTGTTTGGCGGCGAGGAGGTGTTTGACCAAGACTTCGACGGGCACGTTGTCGTTATCGGCGTTAAGGTCCGATGAGTCTGGTTCGTCTTCAGGCTCGTGGCTTGGTGACCCGGAGGAGAGGGCGGGCGCGGGGGTATCGTGAAGGGATGTTCGGGAAGGCCGTCTCGGTTGGGGGTTGTCGTCGGGCGAGAGGGCGGCTGGACTGGGAGAGTGGGAATGGAAGCTCATTGTGACTCGATTGTCGGTGTCCTTGTCGTGGCTGGTATCTGGGTGGTAGAATGGAAGAGCCGGTCGTTGGTGTCGGGGTCAGCGCATGTTTACTGGGAGAAGCTCTGTGGATGTCGACTCGCTGACCAGCAGGAGGATCGGATTCGGGCGAGGGAGAGGTGCGCGCATAAATCGGGCAGTGGAGAAAGGACTAGAAGTAGGTAGAAGAGGAGAAAAACAAAGACGGAGAGGAAAATTGGGGATGGAGAAGGAAGGCACCTTGACGGGCAGTGTCCATGTTGTTGCGGAATCGGAATGGCGGGAGTTTCCATCCTTTCCATGTCACCCAGGCAACGCGCCGCGTGATGTCAGCTTTTTGCGGGGAATAATACAGGGGTACAGGGCAGAGGCTGAGAGGGTACTGTTAGCGTGGAGATATCCCGCAACCCCATGAGGGGTACTGTAGCCCACTATAGCTGTACCTCGTCAGTAACAACATCAAACACGGTTTCAAATAGGCCTCCAGTCTCCCCGTCAACAATGGCACCGGCGACCTCTGGAACTCGTGCATCAGGTTCTCCACGAGCTCGTCAGTATCCATTTGTGGTTCTGGCATATCCGCTTCAACCCCTTCTATCCTTGGGATACTCTCCGCCAGCTAAATCATCAGCAGAGGCAGCGCATCGACGCTCTGTACCGACAGCTTTTGCTTCCCAGGTTGAGCGTGGGGATTGCGTTATACCCGGATTCCACCACCTCAAATCCTTACGAGCCGGGTTTAAACAATATGAGGCGGTTCTGCCGGTTTTGGGTGCTTGAGAGTGACCATGTTTTTGAGTCATTGTTTGAAACAGCTCATGAGGATCACGAGTCCACGTCGGTACATGAGGACAATGACGCTGTAACACTGTTTGTCTCCAGCTATCATCCGCGAGCATCGCGCAATGATTGTTTAGAGTATGTACAGTTGGGTTCTAATACGATGTTTTCCTTAAGAATGGGATAATTGATTATTGAATTCCTCGGCAGCTTCCCTGGCAATGGACTTTCCGACAGCCGAACACCATGTTTTTTCTTCCAGCTGAACCTGGACTATAAATACGCTGCTCCGCGCTCGAGGTACCGGTCCCTAGTAGGGGAGATACGTGCTAGCCATGTGCCAGACGTTCGAGAAGATGAAGCAGGCTCAATTACATTTAATTCAAGCCAGCTGATTGGTGAGCTGATGCGGGCATGGAAGAAAAGCAACACTTCAGGTGGAGGTAGGGGCAAAGGCTGTTGGTATTTTCCATACGAGATACTCGAGTCTCTTCGCCGGATATAGGATCAGTAACCCTTTGTGGGGTATCCCCAACAGTGTCCTAACCAGGGCATGCCAGATGCAAGTACTTGACATCCTGGTCGTAGCATCCAAACTTTGGCTTGAACATCAACAAACCTCGGGTCTAACAAACCATTGAGGGAAGGTAGGCAGACAACCACTCCGGTACCAGAGAACAAGACCATTACCACAATGCCTCATCGTCTTGGGATGCTTTTGCTAACCTGAGGTATACAATAGAACTAGGGCAGTTCCAATCTCCATCATCTGTCACAATGGCACCCAAGGCCGCAGACCTCTTGTCAATCTGGCAGTCCTTGCCTATGGAGCTCGTGCTGCTAGTCCTTGATGAGCTCGTCACTATCTATCTCTGGAACCTTGACTCAGACCCATTCTATCCCTGGGAGATGGACCTGGAAATGAGGGGGGAGATACCGGTCAGCCATCTACCTGACGTTCAACATGATTGCGACAAAGACTCCATCAAGATGAACGCGACCCAACTCATTGGCGGCGTGATTCGTTCGTGGAGGAAAGACATCGAGGCTTGTGAGCGGCAAGGCGTATTCAGGGATCAATGGTATATTCCTCTTGATAAAGTTGAATATTACATGGATGTGGTGTATGGATTATATTGGCATCACCAAGCCTTGTATGGACAGGCAAAGGTTCTGACCGGGAAGAACGCCCTTCACCAGCCTTCAGTTTCCAACCCTCAGTTCACCTGCTTCTATCGTCACCATTCACAGGGCAGTCCAACCTGCATCCATCATCACAATTCACTGAGCAGTACGGACACGAATCCATGGCCTCGATCACTCAATGCCTGTTTGTATCTTCCCTTCTTTTCCCAAGCACCACAGCTTGTCTTTTTACCGATCCAGGAAGCAACACCATACCTCCCATCAGCACACCTCTAATCACCTAGATTCCCCTACCATACAACCCGTCAAACCACCGGTATTACATCCAATCATGGACACCTCGAACCGCGAACTGTCCCAGTCAATCTGGCTAAGCCTCCCGATCGAACTGGTCTTGACCGTCTTCGACCACCTGGTCAATAATGCTCTCTCCCAGTTCGACACCGACCCCTTCTCCCCCCTGGTCCCTCCCAAGTCCACCGCTACGTCAAACATCGCATCGAGAGGAATACCGGCGCATCCTCTTTCCCCGTCTTTTCGTCGTCCATCACGGCGGCCGCCACTACCATCAGAAGACCCGCACCGTCGAGACCATCAAAGGATTCCCACGCTGGAAAGATTACATCGACCAACAGGCTCAGAAATCACAATCCATATCTTCCGCCAACACCAACAATGACACGGTAACCTTCTACATCGCTACAGACCGTGGACTCGACAACCGACTTGCTCGACTCGGCCAGCAAAGCCATGGCCCGGTGTGGGATTCTCTCGCTCCTTATCCCGCCAGCGGTAATGATATGATGCCCCACGTAAACCTCTACCTCGTCTTGCAGTACCAGTCTATGATTGGCGTGGGGCTCATGGGAAATACCGGCGTCTTTGTCAAAACGGCCTTGCAGACGACGACTAATCGCTTGGCGGTCCGGTTCAGTGTCACTCAACTCATTGACGCCTAGTTGAAGACTTGAAGAGACGGTACTAGATGATGGATAGGCTTGAGAGCTGGATTCCGGGCGAAGGATGGGTGGAGGGCAGTCAGAGGGAGGTTAGAGAGTGCTACTTCAGGTACTGAGATGATATTGATATTGTTGGGCCGACTGTCAAGATTCATGTAGCAGGAAGTGACATGGACGGAAAGGCGAGAGAGAAAGGGGGTTGTATGTGTTTGACTAGAAGAAGACATGGCTGCGAACGATTGCGGTGAGAAAGTTGCTTAAGGGAGTACGAGGTGGTGCTGGGAAGTAAAGCTTCGGCCTAGGATCCCGACTGACGACGAGTCTTACCTATGATCGTGACAGGTATGTGATGAATGCTAGTACCATGGGAGAGATGCCCCTAACAACTCGTAATTGCGCCTAACCCTGGCGCGGAACGAATGGTGACTGATGACAGATGACCACCACCACCAACCCGCTAACTAGTCTCAACCAACCAGCCGACCAAAGCTGCAAAAAGTAGGTATATTTATGAACTGTACGACATGAGCATTCCCACCAGCGTATGCATTATCGCAAATCGATCTCGCAACTCTGAGTGGCTGGGATCAATTCCAAACCAGGGTAGTCGCCAAGTCAAATCCGCACTGGAGAGTGGACGGAATGTTACCTCCAAGAGGCTTAAAAGTCTACAAGTCCGAATGCAACTGCATGTGATCGGAAACATTGAACTCTAAACCCCGGTTGGCAATCTATTTGCGGTTCGGTCGTAAGCATACCTCCTGTATGGAACGTTCCTTGCCGTCTTACACGAGGGTCGGGCAAAACATGTACCGCTTTTCGGGGGTAGGTAGTAGGTATCTTTATCGTGTGTGTCAACTGTGCCGCACTTGTACGAGTTGCAAACAATACGAGCCGTTAGTTGAACTCTGATTGAACCACGCAACGCGAAGAAAGGAGCGCTCGGGAAATATGCCCTGTACTGGACGGAGGAAGGCACACTTTGTCATGAATGGACTGCCTCTGGGTACGGTACACCAGACCCGACCGAATGGGAAGTGGGAACTGGGAAAGGGCAGGTCAGACCGGACAGTCAGATGTCAATTTTCAATTGTCAAGTGCCAAAGGGGACGCCACCGACTCGATTTCGTGTTACCGAAGGAGAAGATGGTTTCACATTGGGATATGCGGCGAATCGGGGGACGCCAGGCATATAAAGCCAGTAGTCCTCGAGAAGTTTTCAGTTTGGAATGATCATTACCACATTCACTTAGGTACCTATCTACACTACTGCATCAAAGTCTTGCTCAATCTATCTATCCTCTTTCAAACTCGACATCGCATCTAGCACCGACAGAATCCACATCAAACAGTGAAAGCACAATGAAGTTCTCAACCCTCCCATCCGTCGCCTTCCTCGCCCTTACAACCGGCGCCCTCGCAGCTCCAGCTCCCCAGCCCATCCTCACCAACAGACAAAAGTACGCCAATCTCTCCTTTCTTCGCCCATTCCCCTTTTCCATCGCATCCACCTGCTAACTCTCGATCAAGCTCCCAACCCCCCCTCTCAAACCCCAACCAAAACGCCTCCCTCCAACCTTTCGTTTCCTCCACTACTTGCTCCGGTCCGCCCTCAGACGTCATAATCCCCGTCTCCTACGCGACCACTTTATCTCCCTCAGACACCACGCTCTCGCAAGGATGTTACGAGTTTGTCGCAAACGGCGTGTCGACGCCCGTCCAGTCGGTCAGGATCACGGGTGTTTGGCCCGAGGTGAATAAGTGTCTCTTGAGATACTATGAGGGGACGGGGTGCGCTGGTGGTGGAAGCGCGTTTGGGACTGTGGCGGCGAATACGTGTGGGGGGTTTGGTGGAAGGGGGATTGGTAGTTATCAGGTTGTTTGTGAGCGGACTTAGAGTGGGGGTGATATTGCTGCTGGAGAGTTCGGTGGTGGTTTGGGTGGGTGTTGAAGGGTTGTTTGGTGATGATTAAGGGCTGGATAGTTTGGTGACGGTTCATGTTGTTGCGGATTTGGAAGTGAATGGAAACTGTGGGATGTTGGAGTGGGAGATGGTCAATCTTAAGGTGTCGTTCAAAGGCACTGCCAAAGCCAAGCCACTTGGAGACAGATGCTCGATGTAGACTTGCTTCTAAGATACACAGATATCTTCCCCCTTCTTCTTCTGGTTCTCATCGTCAACGACCCCGTAGGTGGTATAAATAATCGTCGGGATCAGGTCATGCCACTTGAATCGAATGCGGTGGCCACTATCGTACACCTCCAAGCCTTCCAACTTGACTGGACTCGCGCTAGAATCAAGCACTTTTCTCCGGCTGAAATCCGGTCCCGATAGTGGGGGTAACTGTACCTTGGAATCTATACATGTAAAGGCCGGTACGGTCCCAACCATGAAAACCGGATGATCTCCTAGGCTTAGACCAAGCTCATCATTCATGTTCTCGTAATTTTCCCAGACACCCAGGAGTGCTTGAATATTATCCTGCTCGGCATGCGAGGGAGCCCAGTCACCGTTGAGATACTCGAGACAACACCATTGCCTCACCAGTGGCACTCTGCACGCGTGCTCGGGGAGATCAAGGTCATCACCAACTGTATGTTGGCCCAGGCTAACCGCAGACGTATGGAGAAGGAATGTGGCCTTTCCGCCGCTGGTATCGGCCACGGAGCGGGTGTGCTTGTAGGTGCGTGGAGGGACACTGGAATAGCGATAGTAATAACCGCGGTCGAAGTCGACGCACACAAGAAAGAGCAAGCTGCTTATCCATCCATCGTGGAAGTAGCGCTCAATCCGAGGCTTATAGGGCTTGAAGAGATCGCAGTCCTGGCGGAATATTGTCGCGGCTGTCAGAAGAGATTGGCAGGCCGGTTCCTCGAGATTTTCCCTCTGAAATTGGTAAATGTCGTCGAAAGGGGGGCCTTGTTCGCGAATTTCGGCAATGACGGACCAATCGGGATATGTCCGACAAGTGTAAAGAATGTCTTCAACGTAATGGCCCAGGATTTCTTGAACTATTTCGAGAGGGAGATGTTTCCACACCGGGGAAAGTTGTTGATCCATATCAGCTGCCGGATGAACGCGGGACGCCGCGGCAAA